GTAAACATACCTACTAGGCTACTCACACTGTTTAATGTGTTTGAGATGTGCCGTTTCCCTTAATGCATAACTTGCATTTCACAGGTACATTCTATGTCTGTAAATGTTAGAAAGACATGGAAATATATCCATTTTTCTGTCAGAAGTGCATGAGCCTTCTGCTTTGGGATTCTCTGCTAAACTTCTCCGCTAGACTTCAGTGAATGAGCTCCACCACGTGCATGCGCACCAAACAGACAGAGCTCAATTAAATAGGAGCGCAATAATTCTGACTAAAATATTAATTTCGCTGAAATTTGTAGTTGGACAATAAATGTGACATGTAGAATTTTAAACCTACAAGTCTATTTTTATGATAGCACTGACAGTAAAGTGATTGTAATGGGGTAATCAAAATAGCCTAACACAACTCTTTTGTTGTCATTTATTTTCATTTTTAGTTTAGTGAATTTAACTTCTGCTTTAAAAGCCTTATTTTTGTTTTTAGATTGCAATGTTACAATGTTAGAATGAAATGTGATTTTAACCCTTTTTTGCACATAATATAAAGGCTTACATGGTTACATTCACTTTATTTGTTTTCATAGCCTTTAATATGTATTGTTTTGTTGGACAACATTGGGCGGTAAGTGAAATATATATATATTAAATAAAACTTTTTGTAAAAAGCCCAGCCCTAGAAGCAACTACTACTTTTAGTCATAAAGATAATCAGAATTGTAAAAGGTTTGCTTTTATTTGTGTACATTCACAATAAAAACAAATCTTTGTGCTTTTGTAAAATAGGCCTAAAGAAAAATAGGATGCTGCTTTCTGCCGTCTTGGTTTTCTTTCGCGCAGCACAAAAATGAACCAAAACTCTGCATACTAGGCTACTTGTTGCACAGTTTTTTCTTTCGTTTTCTTAATTTATTAAGTAAAAATATATTTCTCGTATAGGCAAATGTTAGTATTTTTAATGGGTCACAGACACATATCCTTTCTAATTTAATTAAATTCAAATTTAAAATAATCTTGTCGGTTAACGGTTAATAATCTGTTAACGAGCGTTGGTTGTTGGTTAGGATAAATAACCGAAATGGATCCCTACTTCTAATAAAATAATAGCAACAGTAATAGACACAAATTTTGTCTCTTTTATATAGTACTACAAACGCAAATTTTGTAATGTCCATCAATTTCCACTGACTTTTTAGATTTTGTTACAAACATGAAAGTCAGATATTATTGCTTTGACAGAGTAGTAAGCCAATTCACATCTCTCTTTAATGTGACTGTTCAACTATATTTTACAGCAAGTCAAAATAATGTGATTTACATAATATTTGTGTGTATATCAAACAGCGTGTGAACCCAATGTTCTTCCTCACCTCCTTGGAGAAAACGCCCATCTTGTTCCTACTCCTACTCCCAACTTTCCACTGATCAAAATCAGACCTCTCCTCTCCTTTAGTTTTCTCTCTGTACCGTGCTGCTGTTTACTCCATTCTGTTCTGGAATGCCTTAATCTGACCTAGCTTCGGTTTATTTCTGCATGTTCTTTTTGGGCTGATTTATCACCTGTTAAGAACTTGTTCTTAAAAGAAATTTGTTTATTACATCACGGTCAGAGTCTAACCGAAATGTGTGTTTAGAGCCGAAACCAGTGTATGCACAACCTGGGCAACCTGATGTTGATCTGCCAGTCAGCCCCTCTGACGCCCCTGTGCCCAGTGTCACTCATGATGACAGCATCCTCCGGTCAGTGTTGTTGTATATTCTGTACTCGCATCATGCTCCCAATTGCCTTTTCTAGTGACTTGAATTTACTAGCAAAGTAAACTTTCTGTATTATTGTGCAGATGCATGTGTACAGATAATTAAAAACTAAGCCAGTTTTATTCTCTGTTACCAGGCCTAGTATGAAGCTGGTGAAGTTTAAGAAAGGTGAAAGTGTAGGATTGAGGCTGGCAGGAGGAAATGATGTGGGGATCTTTGTTGCTGGTGTGCTGGAAGACAGTCCTGCTGCTAAGGAAGGCCTGGAGGAGGGAGACCAGATACTCAGGGTGAGGACCGTCTTTTACATTCACCACTAGATACAAGTAACATCTTTAAAAGGCTTTAAAAGTGAGGTCTTGCGATATGGAACTAGCATCAATTTCAAGACCTGTAAGACCTTCGTTCATCTTCGGAACACAGATATTTTTGATGAAATCTGAGAGCTTTCTGACCCTGTATAAACAGCAAGGCCCAGAAAGGTAGTAAGGACATCGTTAAAATAGTCCAAGTGACATCAGTGTTTCAACTGTAATTTTATGAAGCTACAACAATACTTTTTGTGCACAAAGAAAACAAAAATAATGACTTTATTCAACTATTTCTTCTCTTCCGTGTCAGTCTTCGACGCGCGTTCAGTTTATTTATATAGCACATTTCATACACAATGGTTATTCAAAGTGCTGTACATAAAAGGAAGTAAAATAATCATAAAAAAATCACAACAATAAAACAGGGAACTTAAAAACTTTTAAAATGATTTAGAAATTGATTTAAAATTAATTTAAAACCATTAAAAATAGAAAATGATTATACTTAAAATATAGTGCAATCAGTTCGGACTTGGCACAGTGCTCATTCAATAAATGCACAGCTAAACAAGGTGTAGCACATCCAGGTTACGTCAGAAAACTGGCTCCTGCGTCAGCAGCGTCACACGCACACACGTGGTACTCTCGTGACAACACGTCGACTGACATGAAAGAGAAGAAATTGCTAAATAAAGTTATTTTTGTTTTCTTTGCACACAAAAAATATTCCTGTAGCTTCATAACATTAAGGTTGAACAACTGATGTCACATGGACTATTTTAATGATGTCCTTACTACCTTTCTGGGCCTTGAAAGTTTCAGTTGTGATGCTGTCTATGGAGGGTCAGAAAGCTCTCGGATTTCATCAAAAATATCTTAATTTGTGTTATTAAGATAAGCGAAGGTCCTACAGGTTTGGAACGACATGAGGGTGAGTAATTAATGACAGAATTTTCATTTTTGGGTGAACTATCCCTTTAAGGATCAATATCCTGTCCTCCTAGTGTTTGCCTAGTTAAAGCTGAAATTAGGGATGCACCGATACCACTTTTTCCATTAAGTAACTTGTGCATTGTTTCTTACTTGTTTTTGACATATCCGCCCGAACTACAAACTTTCCAGTGATGTCTGTGAGAAAGGTATATTCACTCGACGAGCTCGCGCATCTGCGCCGCCGCGTGCTTTGTTTATCAGCTCGCGCACATCAGCTATACAGGCGTTAATACTGAATGTTTAACATTATATTCATTGCATACATATACTTCGTAGTAGACATCCTTAACTCCATTCTGCTGTCTGTTGTCGGTGTTTCTTTGTTTGAATATGGCGCTTATCACATGCTGTGTGGTATCGGCGTTTGGTATCGGGGCATTTTAACGAGTAAGAGTACAAGTACATGAGCTCAGTATTGGGCCCGATACCGATACCAGTATCGGTATCGGTGCATCCCTAGCTGAAATCTGTATAATTTTGTTAAAAATGACAAAATGTCATAAAAGTAAATTCATTTAGCTAACATTAAATAATTAAATTTTTTATTTTATTTTATTTTACAGTATATAATCAAATGTCAAACAATTTGGAGCCAAACTGTCATTTTTTCAGTTCTATTTATTGCCATTAAATCTACACTTTGAAATCATTGACATTCATTGTGTGAAAACATCACATGTGCAGCAGATACAGTAGCATGCTTAATCATATCAAAGAAATCTTAAGAAAGCATCTGTTGTTTTTTTTATTGTTTTTTTTCTACTGAACATATGCTGTTGACTAATCTCCATGCTGTAACACTGTGTAACATCCCACGTTTTCTCAGAAAAATATGAAGACACTGTGTGACCCCTGTGGCGGTGGGCAAAAATAATCATGACACACTCCTGCTCTGACTCAGTGCCTGTCTCGCCTCTTTTTCCAGCTTTCCTTTGTTTAGCCTTCGGCCACACAATGGCGTTCATTGTTTAACTCAAGCCTCCAGTGGTCTTATGCTATTGTCAGTTGCTATGTGTAATACAGAGACTCTAAGTCAGGCTCATTTAGAGTTGTTTACCACTGAGCACATTTTAATGAAACATGGATAGTTTTGTTTCTCTCCCACACAAGTCCTAGAGCAGTGTGCGTACTGTACACACGCGTGTATGAAAGTTCCCGTCCCTGCTGCACAAGCACACACTCCTTAGATTCCAGGCCCTGCCCCACAGAGAGACTCCCAGCTCATTGTTTTTCCCTTTCCATTTTGTCAGAGGTGACTGCATGTTCACCTCTACTCTAGATTGTGACTTTAAGATAAAGTAGAAACAGAAAAGGTGGATTTTCTCTCTCTCTGCTTCTCTTTATTTCTCTTTCCACTGTCAATAAACAGTGTATTGTTAGAGTATTGCACCGCTGAGATCTAAAGCCTGTTTTCTTCTTGCACTCCCTCCTGTTCATAGGTTAACAATGTTGACTTTGCAAACATCATTCGTGAGGAAGCAGTGCTGTTCCTGCTCGATCTGCCCAGAGGTGAAGAGGTCACCATCCTGGCTCAGAGGAAGAAAGATGGTGAGCAGATGCATACGCTTTTCACGTAACGGTCATGTTTGCCTATGTTCACTTATTGCATGGTTCTTTTTGACTCCCAAGATCCCCACCCTCTTATCGAAGACAATATTTGAAAGCCCTCCTATCTAATCTAATGTG